CCATTTTGGAAAACAAAATGGAGGCTGTGTCGTGCACGGTGGCAGCGTGCGGGGCGGCGGCAGGGGGCAGCATCTTTGGCAGCGGGGGTCAGCAGGGGTTGGTCCAAACGCCTCGGGAGGGTGGATCCGGCCCCCAGGGCCATAGGTTGCCGACCCCTGGTTTAGATGCACTCTCAGTGCAGAAAGCTACCCTTGGATTTGCTAAAATGGTTGCTTTCTGGTCTGCTAGATCTATGGGAACACATATTGTTTAAGGTCACACAGAGACTGTGTTTGGTTACTCTTTGGCTATAGAAGGACACATAGACATTTATGCCACCATAGTGCCCAAGGATGTTTCAGAGCGAGCCATAAATCCATCCTTTCTAAAACTATTGTGTTACATTCTTTACTCCAATGGGTACCAAAGCAGACAGAATTAGATACTTCTAAGACTATTATGTCATAGGGAGCTGTTCATTTTATTGGTGTGGTGTGCTTGAAATCCAGCAGAGCTAGGGAAATATCTTTCTCCATCAGCCTTCTCACACTGAAAGCATGCAGACAAACCATGTAGGTTCAAAGATCTAAAATAGAGCTTTATTGTTCCATAAGATAAAAAAATAAGCAAAGAAAAATATACAGTCCACCATAGGATCACATCATGCTGATGTGGTAAAACAGAAGAGTTACAGATCCATCTTTCCAGATCCAGAAGTTACATTGTAAAAGCAATATAAGCATATTATAATCCAGAAATTAACTCCATGGTTAAATCCATTGTGAACACACACACAAACAGAAATGCAAGAAATCTAAACAATTCTAGACAAAGGGATTTCTCGGCCCTGCCCTTACTTCACCTTCTGGGTGTTAACCTTATGCTCATTGGATGTTATGTGTATGATGTATTTTAACACAGCCCCTTGCTGTCCATCATCCACCCATGTGACTCCTTTCCCATGATCTAATGATCTTTTGAATTTCACAATCTACTTTTGCTGTTTTCCCAACTAGAAACTTCTGATGTTTTGACTCCTCTGGCCATCTGGACCAAGTTGCCTTTGTTTGCCTAGATGTTGTTCCCATGAGCAAAATTCCACACACACATCTCTACATTTTACCTTTGACTGTATAACCCATCCATATTCTAACAGAAGCCCATGACTGAGATCCTACATTCCTGGGCAGAGTGTAAAATTTCCACAGGCAGAACTCCTCTATGGCTCCTCTCTCCGCACAACTCCCAGAACTCACTATTTTACTGCAATAATCTCCAGCCCCCTAATCGCCAGCCATTCAATGATTAATAGAAATCAGGAAGGGGGGAATTGTAAAAGTATCTACAACCAGCCTTCTATATCCGCAGATTCTGCATCCAGTTTCCACCAGCCACAGTTCAAAAATTTTTTAAAAATCTAAAAAGCAACCTTGATGTTTCCAACTTATGGTGAGCCTAAGACCAACCTGTCATGGGAGTTTCTCAGGCTGAGAAGGTGTGACTCACCCAAGGTCACCTAGCAGGTTTCCATGGCTGAGTGGGGAATCAAACCTCAAGTTCCAGCTCAGACCACTACACCACACTGGTTTATTTAAGGGACACTATTTTACTATGCTACAGTATATAGTGGGACTTAAGTATCCATGGATTTTGGTATGCACACGGGGTCCTGGAATGAAACCACAGTGGATATCAAGGACTCACCATATGCCTCAATAGCCAGACACCGACTGCCAAGATCCACAGCTTTCTCTGAAGGTCACTATAGATTATGTAATTGTTCTGCGTCTGGTTGTACCTCTCTGATCACATCCACTCTCCACCCCTGAATGTTTGTAGGGAGGTGGTTTTGGTCACTGAAAGGAAGAGGAGGAGAATTCCCATTTCTGTAACAACCCCAAAAAGACATATGCAGGAGTACATTGGACTTATGCATCTGAAGGGTACAATCAGGATGCTGTCTCACATGTACCCACTGCACAGGGTATAGTCCCCCGTTTGTTCAGGTCATTTCTCTGAAGCAATGGCATCCCTGTGGTTGGTGTCATTCAGTGTCGGGGGGCAGCAGGGGGGAAACTGCCACTCCACCCTTTCTCTCTCCCTCCTGATGCCTTGCTTGCGTGTCCCACAACTGGCCCGCCACTGCATGGCAAGATTGCTACTGGGGGGAAGGGGTTGCTGCAGCCTCCAGACAGTCATTTGGTGTGCCAGACCCCAAACAAAACGCACCCCCCCCCCAGCAGTAGCAGCCTCTTGATGGCTGTTTGGGGACTCACACTGCTTCTGAGCAAGCGAGAAACAGATGTGGGGGCCATACTCACCTAACAGATGTGCCAGCCCCCCGAGGTGTACTACCCACTGGGTGTACAATCCCCTCTCTGGGATGTCACCCAGTGTGGTTTGGACCCCCTACACCCCCTAGTGACACCATTGCTCTGAAGATCTGCCCAGTCCTAGTCCAGTTTAAAGTGCAAGATTCCAGCAGAAGTTGGAGAGGCCTTCAATTTGCTCATTCACAATTAACATCTGGTCAGGAGAGTGAGTGGGCACAAAGGCCACCTGGTTACTGTCTTACCTTTTACGAGGGGATGTCTTGTATTTCTGTTTAATTAGAACATTTGTTTCAAAAGCTGCTTCTACTCCTACAAATCAACCGTTAAAAATATGATGCAAATCTTTTCCTATCTTTGCCCTCCTTTTTTTGGCAACCTCCCTGTTATGCTAGGGAAGGAGTATATTCCAGAGATGTGGTCAAAAATGGATTTTTTTTTTTTTAATCGACATTGCCTGCCCTTGCGCTGTTTGGAGAATCACAGTCTCTTTGTGTTCATGTATTCCAGCAGGAGCTTTCTTTAATCTCTGCCAACCCAGCTCACCCATCCTAGAACTCTGGGTGGTTTTTAACATTAATCAGATGCAGCGGGCGCCACGGTGCCGTGTTTGCCGTGGCAAGATGCTTCTGTAGCTAGAGCTGATGTTGTCAGCTGCAGTTGGAGAATCTCTACAGCCACTGGATGCCTAAAGTGACAGCACCCCAAAAAGCACCAAGTTGACTTCCGAGACCAAAATCTCCCCTACAAGCATGTATTTCAAAAAGCAAAACAAAGCCCAGCCTTTGTCTTGGGAGAGAAACAGAATCCATTCCCAAGCGTCTTCTCAGTATCTTTCATAACCTAGTTGTTCAGCTTTCATATCCCTGAGATGCAAGGAGGGGGGAACCACACCTTTGGTATTAAGAGGATAATTAGGAAAATATGTCAATTTAAAAAGTGGAGGTAAAATGAAATAGAATATTTGCAGCTGAAATTATGTGTCCATAGAATTCAGTCAAATGTTCTTTAATTTTAACAGACTTTCTGAAAAGCAGTGTAATTTCAACAAAACCCCTTTAAAAGACCTCTCTACAAGAAGATCAGAGCTTGGAAATGTTGTATTTTGAATTATGACTCCTAGAATCCCCCAGAATTCCCAGGATTCTCAGAGTCATAATCCAAAAAAATATTTTTTTTACTAGCTCTGGATAAGAGTTTTTTGTATTTCAAATAATCAGTCTGTTCATATGTGGGTGTTTCTTTACTGTATCAGCTCTTCCTCCTTTCCCCCTCTATTAGGGATTACTGTTTTCAGTAGCCTAAGGGAACAGGCCAGAGAGCCAGCATGGTGTAGTACCATGATGGCAAACCTATGGCACGCGTGCCAGAGATGGCACGTGAAGCCATTTTCCCTGGCACATGGAGGGCAGGGAGGAAGAGGAACAGGCGCACACCTCTTCCTCTTCTCCCCCCCTCGACCCCACAGGCCTTCAGCTGTCTCTGGAGAGGCAGCTGAAGACCTGATTGGGGGGGGGGGAGAAGTCATGTCCACAGAGGGTGGAAGTCCTGGCAACAGGTAACACTTGGTGCTGGAAGGCCTTTTAGTTTGGGCACTCAGCCCCTAAAAGGTTCGCCATCACTGGTGTAGTGGTTTAAGCATTAGACTATGACTCTGGAGACCAGGGTTCAAATCTCTGCTCAGCCATGGAAACCACTGAGTGACTTTGGGCAACTCACAACAGATACAAATTAATGACATTGATACTGCAACATGGTGGCATCTCAATTTGGAACTACAAGATGTGCATCAGTTCCCATCTTGTTGTGTGCCTTCAAGTTATTGCTGACTTATGGCAATCCTAATACAACCTATCCTGGGGTTTTCTTGGCAGAATTTATTCAGACGGGGTTTGCCCTTGCCTTCCTTTGAGGCTGTGAGAATGTAACTTGGCCAAGATCACCCAGTGGATTTTTATGGCCATGCAGGGATTTGAACCCTGATCTCCCAACATCTTTATCCAACACTCAGACCACTACACCATGTTGACTCTCAGTTAACATGAGAATAGCATCAGAATAAAAACTCTCCTCTGGCTTTCCCCAGAACAATGGAAAATTTATGTAATTTTTGCAAACATGGAGATTTGAAATATTAAACTAACTGGTACAAAAAATGATTAATTTTTTAAACATTTAGATTGCTGAGATTCAAACCTGTCCCTAATCTCATTTGTGTAGAAGTTGGATGTTTTTTACTTGGTGGTGAAAGAAGGGCTCTCTTCATATGCTGAGAAGTATTTATTAAATATTATTTTATCCATGACAATGAAGTTCTGTGACTTATGGATGCCTATTGTATAGAGGGTGTCTGCTTTTTATTTGGTAGTGATAGAAGGGCTCTCCTGATATACTCAGAAGTATGTATTAAATATTATTTTATCCCTGGCAATGAAATTCTGTGACTTATAGATTCCTGATGCATCTGATCCAGGAGTCTGAAGGATTTGCATCAGGATTCGATTGGTACTTGCAGGCAAATTTCCTTGGCTGCTTATTATCTTTTTAATTCCTTCTGCTCTTTCCATTAAGGGTTTCAGGGCAGTGTATATCGTTCCTTTGTCTTGTCCATTTTTTATTCTCACAATTAATCTTGTGAAGTACGTTGGGTGAAAGACACTGATTAGCTCAAGGCTTTATGTCCAGTTTCATGGCTGAACAGGGATTTGAACCTGGGACCCCCCCCCCAGTCCTAGTTGAATGTGCTAACCACTACACTGTATTGACTAGATGACCCTTTCTCTCCTCCATCTCTCTTTTGGACCCTTTTTCCCAACAAGGTGTCTTTGCTGTCCTTTACAGTCAGCCAGAAGTTCTACAACTAATACCTTCCTTTTAGCCAGCTATGTGGTACAGAGAAAAACTTGACCTGTTGGTTTTTTGCCTGTCACACAGCCAGTTTGGCTACTCAAGGACACACTGACAGGCGACTACCCAATCCCCTGTCTGCAAAAAGCAAGTTCAGTCTAGTTGTTTGCCCACCTAATTTTTTATTTTTATTTATTTTATTTTTTGTTACCAACTGCGTGAATTCCTTTGAGCATTGGGACTGTACATCCCAAGCAATCATAAATTTGTCTTGGAGAAGGTTTGCATTCCAGTCCACTTAGGATGTTATCACACGGGCGAAATCTATAGGTTATCCCACACAAATCCCCCCAAAGAAGCGCACTTACGCCTAACAATTTCACACGATGTCGCACAGAAACTGACATTAAAGTGGTCACAAAGTGGTGTTATCCGAGATCTTTTTATTTTGGGGAGTTTAGAGGAAATGCATTTGCGATATTACAGTAATTGTGCATTTACTGTAGTGTGAAATTCAAATTTGCACAAACAAATCTCCTTTAAAGCTTTTTCCCGGTTTTCTCGTGGTTCTGTGGGGCTGCTTTTACTTCCTGGTTTGCTTGGGTGACAACATGCCAGGCAGACATGAGCTTCTCTGCTTTTCTCTTTCTAAAATTTCCTGTCTGGTAGTTGAGCAAACAGGCGCATTTCCCTCAAGCTAAAGAGTGACTGCAGTGTCGAAAAGACAAGGGGGAGGCTGAGGAAGGAAAAGGTTTCCCATGCCAACAACCCACCATGGATAGGACTGGGTGG